TTTGAGACAGCATCTGTCACCTAGGCTGGAGTACGGTGGCATGATCATGGCTCACTACAGCCTCAACCTCCTGGGCTCTGGTGATGCTCTCTTCTTGGCCTCAAGTAGGAGGGACTACAGGCCCGTGCCAGCCACCATACTCAAGCTAACTGTTGTACTTTCTGTAGAGACAGGGTCTTGCTATGTTCCCCAGGCTGGTCTTGAACTCCTGAGCTCAAAATCTGCCGCCCTCAGCTTCCCCCAAAGTGCTGGGATTACAGTCGTGAGCCACTGTGCCCAGCCCATAAATCTTTAGGAGCCAAAATTATGTACCCAAATTTGGTATCCTAGGCTCAAAGTTTAAAAGTGTAGAGCAACTAGATAAAATATAACAATCAGGGCCAGAAATAATAAGGCTTCTCTTTAGCAACATTTCTCTAAATTGTGACTTCTTTCCCATTTTGAAAAAAACAGTTTTTGTAGAAAGTAATAATGGGCCAGGCGTGGTGGCTCAAGCCTGTAATCCCAGCACTTTTGGGAGGTTGAGGCAGGACTACCTGAGGTCAGGAGCTCAAGACCTGCCTGGCCAACATGGCAAAACCCTGTCTCTACTAAAAGTAGAAAAATTAGCTGGGCGTGGTGGTGGGCGCCTGTAATCCCAGCTACTCAGGAGGCTGAGGCAGAAGAATCACTTGAACCTGAGAGGCGGAGGTTGCAGTGAGCCGAGATTTTTCCACTGCACTCCAGCCTGGGTGACAAGAGCAAGGCTTTGCCTTAAAAAAAAAATAAAAAAAAAAATGCTGGGCAAGGTGGCTCATGCAATCCCAGCACTTTGGGAGGCCGAGGTGGGTGAATCACTTGAGGTTAGGTGATTGAGAAAATCTGGCCAACATGGTGAAACCCCGTCTCTACTAAAAATACAAAAATTAGCCAGGCATGGAGGTGCACGCCTGTAAACCTACTTGGGAGGCTGAGGCAAAAGAATCGCTTGAATCTCCTGGGAGGCAGAGGTTGTAGTGAGCTGAGATCGAGCCACTGCACTCCAGCCTGGGCCACAGAGTGAGATTCCATCTCAAAGGCAAAAAAAGGGAATAATGAAAATTCTATATAATATGCATTAGAGCAAAAATTAAAATGGAAGGCATTGAGTGTCGATTGTCATAGGCATTATTTACACTCATTAACATATCCTCAAATTATCCTGCAACTCCTGAAAAAAAGTGTTTAAAAAATGTTTTAAATGCCTTTCTCAGTCTACACTAATACTTTTCTTCTTAGAGAAACGAAGTTCACACATGTGACCTGCTGTGTATTTAGTCAATCAGCTAAAGATCTATACTTTTGCCAACCATCCTCACCTCAGACCGAAGGTTTAAAGTCTATAAACAGCTGCTAATGAAAAATATTCAAAAATGCATGAGCCAATCACAAATTTCTCATCAGTCACATCTTCTAGAAATGAAAATAGCATTTCTAGATAAACATAAGAAAGTATCAATGCAAACATTCTCAAACCATCTTGCTGAAATATTGAGCATTTTCATCCAAATTTCAGTCTCACTATTGCACATGCCTCCTGCAGATGAGGGCTCAATGCATAAGTCCGATCTTGCCAAAACCAATCATTTCATGAAAAATGAGAAAGAATATCAAAGTAAATGTGCAAATAAAATTGGTGCTTAAAGCATGTTCAAAACATAAGTCCCCAAGACAAAGGAGTTATAACTCGTTGGCAGAAAAATAGCCAAGCAACTACACCTGATTTTCCCATTTGTCTTTAATAAGATCTTATTTAGCTAGCACAAACCAAAGACAAAGATTGCAAGCTAACAAAACAACCATGTATTGAACTGAGTTTCCCATTCTCTAGTTTTAACTGTATTTCCTTTATATGGGGTAATAGCCAGTTCATGTAGAAAATAAGTTATCGACATACTTTTTCAAGTAACAGCCTGGATATCTTCAGCTTCACGAAACGGGTATAACAGTTTTAAGCTGCACACTTGAGAGAGCCTAGCATTCAATCTGAGAGCTTGGCACTCGCCGCATGTTTAGGGCGTGACGATGTATCTCTTGCATCTGTCTGATGCGGTCCTTCTGCCACATTAGGTTTTGAGGCATGGGATATCTCTGTGTGCCATGCAAGTATCGGTATGGGATCCTCACGTGACAAGCAGTGGCTCTACAACGAGGTTGTGGCATAGGAGGAAGAAGCATCCACCTCTTCCTCTCCGCACAATATCGGTAGGCTTCTTTCCGATACTGTTTATCTATATCATCACTGTTTTTCCAGCCTCCAATAATGAAGACATCATCTTTGTAATAGCAAATGGCTGCTCCTTCGATGCTTAGGACTTCTGGAGGCAAGCTTTCAAGGATCTCATCAGATACTTGGCTGGCAATTTTTCTTACTGCCTCTTCGTTTTCTAAACAGTAACTCTTGGGACAACATGATGCTGTCTGATAAAAGTTTGAATTGACCACAGACATTTGGAAAAAGCAGTAATTGTCAATAAGTGGCAAAGATTCCACATCTTGCCACTGTCGAGTCTCTGTATCATAGCAAGTAATTACAGCCTTTAGTCCATCTTCAGTGTCCCGGTCCACAGGAGTGCGGGCGGCAATGTATACAAACCGGTCTTCGATGCCTAGTGCTTTGACATCTCGAAGAATCTTTGGTGCCGATTCCAAGTTGTGCCATTTGTCAAGCTCAGGATTATAAACAGTCACATCTTTAAAACCAGGACTAAAGTTGCCATGTCCTCCAATGCTATAGAGCTTCCCTTTGACTTCTGTTAGCCCAAAAGAATGCTTTCTTGTCATCAGGCTACAAACATGTTCCCATGTATTCAAATTTGGGTTATACCTTTCTACAGTTTTAGCAAACCCTGGCTCCATTGATCCCGCAACATACACGTAGGATTCTGTTACTGCAACAGCATGTCCATCGAGGTGATTATGAATATGTGGCAGGTTTACCCATCTATCCTCATCAACAAAATACCCCACACATTCACTTAAATAGTCCCCTCCTTCTGAAACACCTCCAATAACCATGATCACGTCCATATTTTGCCCATAACGAGGCAGTAGTGAAACATGAGAAGTGGGGAGCTGGAATGTGCCAGACTGTATATTCTCAGCTCTCAGAGCATGCCTCTCCACTGCGTCAGCCACCAACTTGACGCAAACTTCATTATTGGCTACCAGCCTCTCTGGTTTGACATGTCGTGTAAGGTAGGTAGGTTTCATCTGGGACAACCTGAGCAATTTAAAAAGTTCTTCAAAGTATCTCTCTCTCTCTTCAGCATTTCTCTGAACCCATTTCAAAACGGTTTCAAAGAGAACCTCTTCAGAATCAACCGTAATTTCCAAATCTGAAAGCCAGTCTCTAATGAGATGGAAAGGTAATGTATAAAATTCTTCATCCTGAATCACTTTGTGGAAATTTCTCCGTATCATATCAGCAGCCTTCAGAGCAAGTTGGCTCAGGGTGTACATGTGGGCTAAGCTATGAATTGCCACACAATTTGAGAGGTGAAGTTTTTTCTTAAGAAATTCTCCACAAAATTCTTTTAAACGAATTAGTAGGAACCTAAAATCAAGAAAAAGGGAAAAGATGAATTTTTCAAATGTACATATTTCATGTGGTTACTTTTTTCTTTTTTTTTGAGACAGGGTCTCACTCTGTCTGTCACCCAGACGGGAGTGCAGTGGTGTGTTCTCGGCTCACTGCAACCTCTGCCTCCTGGGTTCCAGCGATTCTCCTGCCTTAGCTTCCCAAGTAGCTGGGATTACAGCTACTTGCCACCACGTCCAGCTAATTTTTGTATTTTTAGTAGAGGTGGGGTTTCACTATGTTGGCCAGGCTGGTCTCAAACTCCTGACCTCAAAGTGATCCGCCTGCCTCGGCCTCCCAAAGTGCTGGGATTACAAGTTTGAGCTACCATGCCCGGCCTACGTTTTTTTTTTTTGACACAGTCTCACTCTGTTGGCCAAGCTGGAGTACAGTAGCACCATCTCGGCTCACTGCAACCTCTGTCTCCCGGCTCAAGCAATTCTCCTACCTCAGCCTACCAAGCAGCTGGGATTACAGGCATGTGCCACCATATCTGGCTAATTTTTTTTTTTTTT